AACTCCAATATGGGGGAAATGGCAGCAGTTCCTGCGAAACGACGATAATAAAACAGAGCTGTTTTGTCTACTGGCTAAGAATCTTGTATTACATAGTCCTCCAGAGAAGACGGTCATTGCTACTTTCTTGGACAAATCATTAAGCAGCACCGACATCGACTTAACTTGCTTGTCGCCTTGTAATCACGAAGAAGCGGATACGAAAATTTTTGTTCATGTTAAGCATGCAGCTGACTCTGGCCATCGAAAAGTTGTTGTGAAAACGGTGGATACCGACGTGGTTGTACTTGCAATTTCTTTTTTGCAATCCTTGCATATTGAAGAGCTGTGGGTCGAATTTGGCGTAGGAAAGCACCGGCGTTGGCTTCCAATTCACCAGTATGCTACCAACCTCGGGGAATCAATCTGCGAAGGATTGCGTTTTTGGTTTGCTTTAACTGGTTGTGATACAGTTTCCGGTTTTGCTGGTAGAGGGAAAAAGATTGCTTGGGCAGTATGGAGGTCATATCCAGAAGCAAACGAGACATTCAAAAGGTATGCAATTGAGCTTTATTTGTATGTGGACATAAACGTAGGGAGCATCTCAAAAGAAAGGGGGCACATTTAGCAAAAAGGGGTATCTTCGTGAGCTTCAAATAGGTACTCAAAATTCTGTTTCTCAAAATTGAGGGGGGGGGGTCTACGTACGAGAATGTTTTTATGCAAGACTATAAAAAAGATTCAAGTATCAACGAACTAATCTGTATTTATCAATGATGTATGCTATGGCGTGGTATTCTATGCAATGATTGAAAAAATATAGTTCTTTGTAAATTGTATACTTTATCTACTCCAACAGATTATCTTCACCATGTCAAGATATATCCATCGACGATATGAATATTATTGAGAGGTATATAGTATTACTCTACGATCGCACAAGTAAACTTGGCGATGTAAACGAGTGCCGAAGAGTGTTGTTTGCAAAGAAAGGTCGTTCAAACGAGAATCTGCCTCCAACGAAAGATGCACTTATACAGCATGTAAAACGAGCAGTATACCAAGCAGGGTAAGTGTTAAGATCACTAGTTGCTCATTCTACATGGCAAGGAATCATCTATTTGTAGTAACCTGCCTTCGTTTATCACTTTTTAGACACATTTGGGGACAATCCACTCTAAATTGCCAAGTTCTTCCAAGTTATGAAAGTTGGGGGTGGACGAGAAAGGGCAACGAAATCAAGCCTTTATGGATGACAATTCCAGAAGCATCAAAGGCTTGTTACCTGCTCATCAAGTGTAGTTGCAAGAAAGGTTGCAGTGCACGATGCAACTGTCGTCAGCATCAGCTAGATTGCACAGAGCTCTGCCAGTGCAGTAGACAATGCAGTGATGATTAAATTACATTATCATCTTTAAAGACTCAAAAACGAGAGTCGCAAATCTTCTAGATCATGCATTCTAATTAATAATGTCAGGCAGCGCCAATGAGCAAGAAAACGCTCTTGATTTACTCTAGTAGTGAAAATTGTAAAAACCAATAAACACATATATAAACACAAAAAACATATTTCCCTTTCCAAGCCATCCAGGGAAAGATTTCAGAAAATTTAATACCAAGCTACCAAACCGTTTGCCTGAAATATCGTTGTCGTAAAAATTATTTTGTAATGATTGATTTAAGTTTCTTTATTCTGCGCATAAAACTAGGTATCTGTGAAAAAATCTTTACCGTTACTTGTAGTAGAGTTGTGAAAGGATACCCCTTTATGAGACAGGGTCTAAGTACTCTCAGTCCCAAATAACATTTTGGGGCAGTTTCGAGTTGAGGTTTGTGTCTCAAAATATTTAACTCGTCAAACTTCGTACCTGTAGAAATTTTCAGCTCTTTGTTGTTATCTGAAGTAGGATTGTGGTGTAAACATTTAGGGGACTGGGTTCAAGTACCCCAGTCTAAAAATAGCATTCAGGGGTAAATTTGAGTTGGGGTCTGACCCTCATCGTTTTCAGCACATCAAACTATGTATCTCTACCAAGTTTTAGCTCTGTATCTTAATTTGGAGTTGAGTTATGATGAATGCTCCTCAAATGGACTGGGTCCGACTACCCCATTCTAAAAATAGCATTCAGGGGTAAATTTGAGTTGGGGTCTGACCCTCATCGTTTTCAGCACATCAAACTATGTATCTCTACCAAATTTTAGCTCTGTATCTTAATTTGGAGTTGAGTTATGATGAATGCTCCTCAAATAGACTGGGTCCGAGTACCCCAGTCTAAAAATAGCATTCAGGGGTAAATTTGAGTTGGGGTCTGACCCTCATCGTTTTCAGCACATCAAACTATGTATTTCTACCAAATTTTAGCTCTATATCTTAATTTGGAGTTGAGTTATGATGAATGCTCCTCAAATAGACTGGGTCCGAGTACCCCAGTCTAAAAATAGCATTCAGGGGTAAATTTGAGTTGGGGTCTGACCCTTATCGTTTTCAGCACATCAAACTATGTATCTCTACCAAATTTTAGCTCTATATCTTAATTTGGAGTTGAGTTATGATGAATGCTCCTCAAATAGACTGGGTCCGAGTACCCCAGTCTAAAAATAGCATTCAGGGGTAAATTTGAGTTGGGGTCTGACTCTTATCGTTTTCAGCACATCAAACTATGTATCTCTACCAAATTTTAGCTCTGTATCTTAATTTGGAGTTGAGTTATGATGAATGCTCCTCAAATAGACTGGGTCCGAGTACCCCAGTCTAAAAATAGCATTCGGGGGTAAATTTGAGTTGGGGTCTGACCCTTATCGTTTTCAGCACATCAAACTATGTATCTCTACCAAATTTTAGCTCTGTATCTTAATTTGGAGTTGAGTTATGATGAATGCTCCTCAAATAGACTGGGTCCGAGTACCCCAGTCTAAAAATAGCATTCAGGGGTAAATTTGAGTTGGGGTCTGACTCTTATCGTTTTCAGCACATCAAACTATGTATCTCTACCAAATTTTAGCTCTGTATCTTAATTTGGAGTTGAGTTATGATGAATGCTCCTCAAATAGACTGGGTCCGAGTACCCCAGTCTAAAAATAGCATTCGGGGGTAAATTTGAGTTGGGGTCTGACCCTTATCGTTTTCAGCACATCAAACTATGTATCTCTACCAAATTTTAGCTCTGTATCTTAATTTGGAGTTGAGTTTTGATGAATGCTCCTTAAATGGACTGGGTCCGAGTACCCCAGTCTAAAAATAGCACTCAGGGGCAAATTTGAGTTGGGGTCTGACCCCTATCTTTTTCAGCGCATCAAACTGGGTAGGTGCGCGAAATTTCATGCTGGTATCACGATTTGCATGATCAATGTTATAAGAGCCCCCACTATATTGTATAAAGGAAAGTCTTAGCTTTGGACATGGGCTCCGACAAAGGTTGAAAAGTGAGGGGGGGGGGCAAGAGAAAATTTAACACCCATAACAAAAGATTTTGAAAAAAACTATTGTTTTCCAAAAAAGTGGGAGGCCAAGGCCCCCCCGGCCCCCTTCGTCGGAGGCCCTGTTGGATGGAGCAAAAAGAATTGATTTGGTGTGTCAAAACGTGTCATTTATTCGCTCGGTATCAAACAACAAATGGTGTCAGGAATTATATAATGTGCCAGCAAATTTTATGCGTACAAGTAAAGGGTTAGGTTTAGGGTTAGGTTTAGGGTTAGGGTCAGGTTTAGGGTAAACTAATTACGTCATCAGGCCGAGCATTATGGAAACTAGACAACTCCATCGCTATCAGTCATTTTTATTTCATTTCTTTTTACTAAAATTGATAACAACGACTTAAAGCTTGAAATGTAGCAAAATGCATAATAAAGAAGAAATGGCTATCTGAATTTAAATTTTAAGCACTGTTTAAATACCGATAGGCTGCCGGTTTACAAAATGAAATGAACATACAATCAAGTAACAAACATGATGTTTTTAATTATTGATCCTAGATAAATTGTTTCTAGTGTCAATGTCACCCATTTCACCAATAGGGACAACATGTTGTCGGGACCTAGAACCTCATACAAATTACTGCAGTCAATATCAGCCATTTTTGAGTGCCCTATTTGTAACCTCCATTTGAATTGAATCTCATTCTGGGACCACAGATTTGTCTTGTGACTTAGCAATGGCGGATGGAAACGATGCAAAGAAACATTGCAAATATGGTTCGATGAAAAGGCTGTTTACCTGAACGATGGATGCGACAAGAATATTAACAATAACAAGAAATATTGAGAACCTGAGCGTACCGGTTAAATCATCGACAGGCTTAAAGGTGCGCCAATTCTTTCATTCATTTTTCTCAGCAAGACACCGGTCCGGATAAAATAAATTGTATTCCCTTCTGAATGTTGAAACAACTACCTTCGCAGAAGCGCTTTACCTGCAAAAAGACTCTAAATTAAGAGGCAGAAAAAGTTTTTTTTGATAAGGTCTGACAAGCTGCCTGTGACGGCTGAAGTTTCCAAAGAAACCTAACTATTGCAACATGTGACGATATTTTTTTTGTAACGTTGACACTTATCCTATTCTCGAATATCCTAAATGCTCGAATTTTCCCCACCAACCCAAAACCCTCCTAAACTAGCCCTTACCTTGAAAGTGAAAGGCTCTGATCCAATTTTTACAAAACAAGATTAAATTCCATGATTGATAAAGATACTAATGGAAAGTGATTTAAAAGGTGTTTTTGTTTTGTAACATTCAAAGCCCCTTCAAAGTAGCCCCTGTCTAAAGATGTATGAGACTAATACGTCCCAGGAGGGTATTTTAATGAATAATGGTAATTAGTTTATGAATCAGGTGCAAGTTATCAATCTAAACAATTTATATCAGATTATACAGAGTTTGTTTGCCTTTTGGAAAACTGGTCAAATGTGAAATAGAGCATAGCAGATACCGGGTTTGTCAACATTGTCTTGTATGTTCCACTAGATGTTGAAGGCTTTCTTTATTCTTTATTTATTGTTGGGCCATTATATTGTTGGGTGATTGCTATTGCAGACTTAAGGCAGCCTGTTCGGTGTGTTGAAGAACAATATGATAGACAGCATGTTTTATTAGTTGTCTTTGCATGAATTTACGTTTTTTTCCCAATATGACACTCAAGTATAACACAATTTCACACCTTCAATTTCATGTTCAGTATACTGCCGTGGCACTTGCAAAAACTTTGGTTTGTCTTGGTACAAATACTGGAAGCACATACATATTTGAAAATGAAACACTGAAACTGATTAAATTCATCGCAAGCAAGGTATCTTTTTGATATTTTCCTTTATAACTGATTTGAATGGAGTGACCAACCTTTAATTTGTTGTTTTTATGATTGATAAACTTCAATTGGTTTCCTGGACAAAGCAACTAAATTTACTGATAGCTATATTTTTATATTTTTATTAGTATTTGAATAACATCTTTTAAAATCCTGGCCTTTAAATCTCATATCACCCATGTATGTGTTCTTATATATTCTTATGTTCTTTTGTTTAATTATGTGTAATTATTTCAATATATTCCAGTTTCTTTTCAACTAAGAGCAATTGATTCATAGAACGTGTGAATAATAGATTTTTATCATTTTATATTTTAAAATCTTTTGAAACTTATCTATATTGATTATTAAATTCGAAGGGAGGAAGCATTCAAATTCTCAAATTTTCAAAAGATGAAAAACTTTTAGCCATTGTTGACAGGTGAGCTTAGTTTTATTCATTGTGAAATCGATCATTTTAATAGTTATATAGATATTAACATTGGCCAAAACATTATTTTTCTATTACGTGGAATTAAAAAAGGAAAAAAGCTCATAAGTACTATTGTAGTTATTGCACATGAAGGCCAAGGGTGCCTCAACTGCAACATTTCTCGACACATATTTTTAGCCCTTGTAGTTTTCAGTTATAAATTCTGATAGCCATAAATGAAACATTACTGTCTTTATCATGGTTTTAGTAGCCAAAGTTATAAATCTTGAAGGCTCCTTATCTTTTGAATAGTTAGACCTATAGGGTTTAGGTGCACTAGCACTTGAAACATGAAAATATAGTGACAAACGTTTTAAAAACAAATCAGAAGTATAACAGACCACAGATATCGTAGAACCTGGAACCTTAACCTGACAGCGTGTGTACAGTTTGCTCGACAATGGGGACTCTGCAGGGGGACCAGTGGCTGCAGTAACTGCAGCTGTCTTTTGTTTGTTGCCTGTGGCTCCTGTTCTCAAGCATCCTTCTCATGCTGACGGAACATCCAATGTGAAACGGGTTCTAGTAGTTATCAGTAATTAATAGTAGTTGTAGGTGTCGGTAATTGCTTGATTTAACTGTTACCTGTTATATGTTTTGTTATATTAATGGCCACAGGGTAGCCATTTTCTTTTGCTCCCTGTGGTCTCATCCCTGTAGTGTTGTTCACTTTGTAAAGTAATTAGGAAATATAGTAAGATGTAGTCGTAAGCATGTATTGTAAAAAAAGTGCCAATCTACTATGTAACATTTCTAGACCACTGAGCATAATTCGTTCTTGCTGAATTTGTCAGCTTTTCCATTATCCCTCAAAGGTTCTGTTATCCTGCCTTGCAGCAGGAGAAACTCATACAACGGAAATGACCCTGCTATTTGTCCAAGTGGAAAATGCTTGCCTTGATCTTTGGGTTTGACAAAGATAATCCCATTTAACTTTGATAAAAGTGTGTCTATACTTGTATTGTCCTTGCTCCCTAAATATTCATTTGCATATTGTACAAATAAAAAATACAAATTTTTTTCAGCATTGGCATTGTCACCTGCCTAGAAGTAAATGAGGAGAAATGTGAAATTTCTGTAAGTTGTATATTCTTTATAAAGTGACAATGTATTTGTACTTTAGGAGATAAATTTTGCTGTCATTAATTAACTTGAATTGGTCTCGACATCTGATTTTTATTCTGCATTTAAAATATTGTTTTTGCTTTTGATCCACTATCCTTCAGCTTTTATTTGATGCATATATATTGAAATAGGTTGTCAAGGAAATTGAGGATCACAAAGGAGCAAAAATCACATGCCTGTGCTGGGATGATGACAGTGCAAGATTGTTTGTTGGTGATGAAAGAGGAATAGTTACAGCTTTTATTGTTGCTGCATTCAAAATGGTAGGTTTAGTCAAAGCTTAGTACATACAAGTTTTCATATGATGTACACCTAGTCATTGTCATTGTTGGATTTTTTATTTTTATTTTTGTATGTGGTTCTTAATACCTTTAGTTTCAGAACAATTATTTTGTTTTGGTGATTTTCTTCCAGCCAGCAGGGAAATTCTTGTCAAAGAGTTCCATTGAGGTTGTTGTTAAAGGAGAGTCTCCAATAGTTCAATTGGTAAGTTTGATTCTCCATCTCAGAGCTTTGTACAGAAAAAAGTAAAGTTTCGAATAATAAAATGATGATATCTAGCCAAGTGATGTAATGGAACTTGCATTTTGGGACAGGCAAATAGTCAAAATTTCTCTACCAATTTACTGGACTAGATGTCATCTTCAAAGAAATCAGCATAAAAGAAGTCTAAATGCTTCTGACCTATTTGAATTTCCAAAATTTAGGGTGGGTACTTGTTGACTTTACCCCTATCAGGTCACTGCCCTCTGGTTCAATCTTGTGTCTAAGTTTCACAATAATGTCAAGAAAACTGTCAGATTTGACCAAATTCAAATGCAAACCATTAAAAGTTACATTCGTTGTCTGAGATCTTTAATTAAAGTCAAACTAAACCATATCACATTTGAAAATATGCTAGAAAGTGCTGCCCCCATTCAAGCTATCATTGTTTTCATGCCTCAAGTTTAGTATTCCTTCACAGTAATCTGACGTTGTGGCCCTTACGTAGAGGATGTAAATGTATTATTGACTATGAGGTGTTGACTTGCGTTTCCGGTTTTTTTTTTCTAGGATTATTCAAAGCTGAAACTTTTGGTTTCAACAACAAACAGAACGCTCCTTTGCCTCACTGACAAGTAATGTTCTTGCTCAAAATTTCCATTAATTTTGTTTGTTTGCCTGTTGACATATTTTTATTGTTGCTTGTGGTATGCTCACAGAAATATTTCTCTAAAAGTAAATTAAGGCTACTTGTAAATCCTGAGAAAACAAGCTACTGTTTATTTATGCCCTCATGCAATAAAAACCAGAGCTCTTGTCCTCGATATGGGGGAGCCTCTCAAGCAAGCAGATGAGGTTAATTATCTTGGCATTAAAATTGATATTACTAAACTATCCTGGGAAAAACACATTGACAAAATAAATAATGAAATTGTCAAGTATGCATCCATGTTTGCAAAACTGAAAGACGGCCTGGAAACACTATATGATTATTTTGTGTATTAAAAAATAAGCTACTGCATTGAGGCCTATGGCCTGACTAAAAAGAAATACTTTAAAGATTTGCAAACGATGCAAAATAGAATGGTACGGATCTTACTCTTTAAATACTACCGCTTTTCAACTGATGCCCTACACAAGAAATCAAAGTTCCTAAAACTACGAGATCTGTATGACTTAAAAATTCTCCAGCTAATGCATGAAATAGAATATAATTATGACAGTGTGTCATAAGCCTCATGTAACCTTATGAAAACAAATAACTGTAGACATAAATATGAAACCGGGCAAATAAATTATTTTAAGAAATGTAAACCGAATAAGCGTTGGACAAATGCTGTCAAAATATAAGAGTTATGAAGTGAGAGAAAAATGAAATGTAATCCACATGCTATATTGTCTTGTTCCAGTTTATTAATTATATAGCCAACCTTGTTTCTGTTATTGTAATTACTGTTATGGTTTCATTTTCTAATTATACTTTTTGTTAACGGCCCAAGCTAGATATTTTCATACTTTTCTTGGGTCGTGTATACTACAGTTTTAATATAGTACTTATCTTCTATAGCATACGAATAAAATTGAATTGAATTGAATTGGCCAGGGAGCAGCACAAAAGGCTATACCTTTTATTGTGGAATCCAATGTCGATTTCGTTCAATGATTTTTCGTTTGTTGTTTTGATATCTTAACCTATGTGGGTGTTTTGTTATGTTAAGTCATAGTAAAAAAAGAAATAAATCCGAAACACTAACGTATTCAATATCTCTTGCAGATCAAAATATCAACAAATTGGGTCAAAACCAAGGTTTGTAAAAGCACACTATTCAATTTTCTTTACCTTCCGTTAACAAAAGAAAAAACTGGAAAAGAAAGTTCCCCAAAACTGATTTATGGATTTTTAAAATATAAAGGAAGTGACGAGAACAATAGACTTTGTTAAGATTGTCGTATTTAGGCACTTGTGCTCATACAAACTTTCGCAATATTGCAAATAGGAAAATTGTTGTGACTGCTGTATAGGTTGGAAACTTCAAACGTATGAAGGACAATTCAAGTGATAAATCGGCGGAATAGCAGAAGTTTCTGCAAAGGCGTGGAAACCTTGATAAATGCTGCGAAATCTTGGCGATAAAAACTTAAATAGAGTACAGAAGGTTTTGTTTCAATTTAGAGAATTCCTCAAGCGGCTCACCGTTTCCTTCATTTTTTGTCTTCACGTTCCAGAGATGGAAAGTTTGGATCGTGCTTTCTACAATATGTGAACGGAGAATTTCCTGTAATTTACGCAGCCCGGCCTGGATCAAGGTTGTGGGAGGTATGCCAATCTTTTTTTCAACATATATAGTTCGCTTCCTTCATATTTCACATTCTGATTTAAGCTACACAGGAAAAATGATGTAAATTACGTTCACTCCTTAAGGGCTGCTTCAATGGAACTAATTCCTGGATGTCGTAATTTTGTTTCGCCTGACAATAATGTGATGCACCCAATGTATAGCAGTTGAATTAGCAGTTGAATTAGCAGTTAGCAGTTAGATTTTGAATTCATTAGATTAAGATAGACTTTAGAAAAAATTATAAAAAGACAGCATATTTTCAATAGGTTGACTTTTCAATGGGCTCCACTAATAATCTAACATAGCTTAAGGTAAATCCTGTCATCCGAGTGTCAGTAAAAAGGCCATTGTATTTCGTATAATCCTAATTTGTATCTTTGATGTGCTCAGAAACGCTTAGGGAATCCTAATGTGACGTAATATGACAATCATAAGTGACTATTTGTGACTTGAAAAAGTGGCTCCAGATGTTTAATTTGATTTATTTCTAAGCGACATCTTACCATGTGGGCACTGAAGCAAAAGAAGCGGACAAATGTCTTGCTTATTAATGTCACCTTCCCCCTGTCTACGACATATTTTTTCATCTCTCAACTTTTTGCAACTTTAACACTGTTTTTGTTGACATAAACGCAGACTTCCACACATCCCAACAGGTTGACTTTCATGGACAAGTTCTAGCAACACATCAGTTCAAATATCTTCTTGCCGTGCCACCGAAGAAGATTCATGGTTTACGGTAATAGCCTTGACTCTTTGGAATTATGCAGCAACAATGTAGTATAATGATGCCTAGCTGTCTTTGCTTGTCTTGCTTACAAAATAATAGTTACTCTGATTTAATTGTATCAATACACTAGCCACGGCCGACCTAAAGGATGTCCTGCGTGTTTCTTGCGGAGGTGCACTGAAACCCTTTACAAGCAACCATTCACCACAGCCTCGTTCTCTTTTTACTCGATTCACGCAATTTATAACTATGGAAACACGAACGTATATGAATGCCCACCCTAAAGATAACAACCTGCTCTCTCTTCTTCATTTAAAGACTGATGCTGATAGTGGCTACATTGATTTAGTTTTTTATCAACATTTTGTTCAATTTTGGCTTAGAATTGAACGTTACCGCTTTGTGGCAATTCTGAAAGTGTTATGCCATATGATATTTATGCTTTCTTTTTTGTCTATTAAAGAGAAAACAAAGATTTTATTAGCGAAGAGAATTGGGACAAACCACAGGCTGTTCCTTTCCCGAAACTTATACCAATTTGGTGAGAAATAATTTTTTTAATGATATTTTATTATTATTTGATTTCGTGCTTTCCGTGTCGTTTTTGCGGCTTCAACTTTGAACGGTAATCTTGTCCGCTTGAGTATTCCTAAATAACTGGCCATGCAAGAAAATTCTAATCGAAGTCACGACCTCTCTGTTTGCTGTTGCCAAAGCAGTTAAATGAGAAAACAAAAAATCATGGTTCATTTGTTTGATTCTCTTGAAAATTTTCTTTGTATATGGAGTTAGCCTTACGTTGTCAGGCGATAACGAATTACAGTACTTGTTCCAGTGTTAAAATGAATTCTATTTCAGTAGGCTCATGAATTAACCTATCTTGTAAATTTGCAAAATGTTGTGAATTCATTGAGGAAATAGTAAATATCATTGAACTGCTTTCACAGCAATCGATACGTGGTGACATGGTCTCATCTTGGCTTGTATATCTTGGACCCCAGCCTTGGAAAAATTGCTGGATGGTATGACGAAATCAAAGGTAAGCTTGCTTAGCCGGTGTTTTCAAACTAGGAAACATCTCTTAGCCTTTTCCAAGGCCATCTGGTCTGTCATTGTTATCATGAAAGTCTTTTGACACCCTATTAGCCGAGTTCGGCATGTCTTCTGGCTGCAAAGTTGCTGTTGTTATTTATTAGTTACAGAATTCGTAACAGAAATCATACTTATTAACAGAATTTTGACCTGTTTCTTAATCCAGTCCAGTTCTTCATCGTAATTTCGGACCATAATCCAGTCCAGTTCTTCATCGTAATTTCGGACCATAATCCAGTCCAGTTCTTCATCGTAATTTCGGACCATAATCCAGTCCAGTTCTTCATCGTAATTTCGGACCATAATCCAGTCCAGTTCTTCATCGTAATTTCGGACCATAA